TTATCAAACTAAAGAACCACAACATTCTGAATCACTGATACCAAAATGTAAAAATCATCACATAGGTGGGTCACAGAGGTTGTCCAATATCGACGACGAGATACTTTGTCGTTTTACTTGTAATATTTTTCGAAATTTATAAATATTATATTAGTTGAAGCCGCAAAAATACCTGCCCGGCCTAGGTTTTCAAAATTAGGCGCATATATTTCGCGAACAACCTTATTACACAGAAGATTACCTAGATGAATCGACCATGTCCAATGGTCCCAAAACTTCAAAAAGAAAACTGAATTTTTGCAATTACCGAACTTCCAGAGGTTTTAATGAAAATCTAATCAATGTCATTCCCAAATAATTAAACTAACTTTGCTTTATTCGAGCAAAACTAAGACAAAATTTGGAGCAGTTTTTTTTTTCTGAAAATATTGTTAGTATTTTTTGAAATTGCCAGCATATTTCTCAGAATTACTTGAAAACTACTTATATTTTTATAAAAATTGTGAAGAATATTATTTCAATATATGTATATGTTTTTAATGAAAATCCAGATTTCTCAAAAACTACTACTTTTTGTTTTCTTTTCTGATTTTCCTCGAATAGAGCACGTTCGCAGGTTATAGAGAGCGTGCATTATGCCGTGCGAGTGTTGTTCGTCGGTAAACATCCTTGTGGTTTAGTAGATAAATCGGTTGCACGCGGAGAGTTTTCGCGAATCGCAGCCCCGGCAAATACTTTTACGAGTCGGAGCCACTAAATTCTAGTACGTACCACTTCTCTTCGCACGATGGTCCACACTGTGGCAACGTGTCTGTCACGTGCCCTTATCCCGTAAGACGTGACAAACTTCATAGCTAATGAAAGGGACCATAGAAAACAAATTCGGCTTTACATTATCGCAGAACAATAAAAATACGGATCACAGAAGAGGTAAGCTGTCAAGAGAAAAATAAATGAATGTTCATTACAGAAAATATAAAAGAGAGAGGGTTCTTAAGTAATTCGTGTTTTGATTATGCACGGCTACTGATGTACTGCTTGAATATGAAATGGACACAATTCTCTTTTTTTTTCGACGGAACTAAAGTTGTGTATTTTACATTCAACAAGAACTAATTTTAAACAAAAAAAATGGCATTTCATTTATTTCTGGGTAGTTCATTATCAGAATATCAATTAAGAGAAGAAAGCCATTTAATTTATAGCGTTCTCCACTCGTTGCACTGAAACCCACCCTGGCGTAGGGCAAAAACATCGTCGCTACGCAACAGTGTTGCCACACACGCGAGAAGGGCGGCCACGAATGAAACGGATTCCGGAACTGAGTCAGTGCGTGTGCCCTGCGCAGTGAGATAACAGACAACCGTTTTTGGTACTGATAGAATTGATACACTGATAGAAATTAAAAATAAGAATTTTGAATTACGATTGTTGAGTTTTTATAGTAATTATTATTTTTAACAGAACCTATATGAAGTCTTTTGGTAATTCTTACTCCTTAATTCATAAATTATTAACGTGCAATTTCATTAATTAAAAGCTAGCGAAAACTTCAAACGCCTATCTGCCGAAAATCCATTTTTCGAGATTTGCCAGCGATTGATATAGTACACTCGATTTTGAACCGAAAGGCTTCTGCAGAATTGTTTGGTTACGATTGAAAACCATAAAAATATTAACATTAGCATTTCCGTTGAGGTATGTATGCTCGTGCGAGAATCATCGGCACATATATTTGAATAATTTTAAGACGTACCGACACTGGTTACTAAATAGCATTGAAGTTGTTGACATGAAGTTTTTCAAGGTTGAATTTTATGAAAACACAAACTGATTTTTCGAACTTCGCGTAAGTCACAAAAATTATTTTAAGACATTTTTTGTAAACCATGATATATTCCATTATTTGGAGTGTTCCTGCTTGACAGAAGATCCACAATTGCCTTCACAATTTCTCTATGAATCAGTATCAACATTCATAACTTAACGTCAAAACGGACCGGTGCAATGGACTGCACTGACGAGATCCTCAGTGCAGGTTACGGTGCCCTGAGTGCGCCCTAGTTCCGTGTCATCTTGAGGATGGAACATGCACACTGCGGCCCTAGCGGTCAAACAACACGAAAGCTACCCTGCGCGCGCGCTCAGTTCGCACCAATACGGCATATGGAAAACGCTATTCGTTTATTTCACGATTGCCAAGAATGCCAAATAAATATTCGTATAAAAATTCTCGACATGTGTTCCGTCAGTCATAGATTACGTCCGCAGGATTTTATTAAGTATATAGGAGAGTCGTTTTACTACTTTTTGTGAACCAAACGATAATATTTTAAGTATAACAATGTTATGAATAAATATCAATATTACTCAAAAGTGTTGAGGCATTTTTCAATTGTTGATTCTGTTATTGTTGATGTTATGTAATTTAAATCGACAATTTTTTTTAAAAATAAGTTTTGTTTTTCATACGTTTCGTCTATTAATTCTTAGAAAATTATTCCGCAAAATATATTTCAAGTTAAATACACTTATCGGAATCGACAGACAGTTTCATTGAAATATTGTCTAATATACTATTATTGGTCTAAAATACTTTGAATACAAAAATGTAGCAGCAAATTAGAGAGCACTAGGAAAATATATATCGTCCCTTGAGAAAGAAAAATAAAACTATTTCTTTCTATACATGTACTATGTGAACTACAATTAATTATCAGCGCATTATCAAAAAAAGGCAACAAGGAAATGAAACTGTGGAAACTGTGAGAAGGTAAGATCATATAATGTAACCCACTATAAGAGTGAAGGTATTACTTCACTTCCCATCGCATACTTCCATCATATAAATAAAACTACATACACAGGTGGAAAACTAGGAATGAAACTGTCCAAACAGGACTCAAACACCATTTCGATAGGAGTATTCCCCGAACAGTTCCCGGAATTGGGCGATACATTTTACACATTCCGGACATAATTTCATTACCGAATCACATTTCGCGCCCTGCGGGAATTGCCACTTTCCATTACATCCATTTGCATCGCTATGACAGGGATGCTCTCATTCGCCTGGAGCCACAAGAGGCGCAAGGCATGCGGTTCTGCGAGGACGGGGGAGGGGAGGGGAAGTCGTGAGAAAGAGGGTGGCGGATTAACAGAACGAGAGGCGAAGCCAGAAAGGATAAATGGAGGAAGAGACGGAGGGACGCAAGATCGGAGAAACAATAAAGAGTGGGAAGGGCCGAGGAAGAGAGGGAGACCGGAAAAGAGGGAGCGACCGTGGGGAGGGGGGAAGGGGAGGGGGAGGGAGGGTTGGTGAGACTGAAGAAGGGTTGGAGAGGGGGAGAGTCAAACGAAGGAGAGGGAAGGGAAGGAGAAATGGATAATGCAAGGGATGACTTTCCATCAATGACAATTCATTTTGAGGGAGCGGAAAAAATAAACACCTTAACTTCAATATCCTTATGACGCTGCGGTCACGACAGAGAGAGAGTTCACAGGACCTACAGTCGACAGCGAAGAAGTTCAAGAGTTCTATAAATTCTATGAAAGACAGATTTTGAGTTTCGTAATATACACTACTAAACGTGAATTGAAGAATAATGCTTCTGCAACTCGCGCAAAAATAATTATTGTTAATTTTAATGTATATTACATAAATGTTACAACGCAAAATACCCTTTTATACTAACAATGGTCCACATCAACATTGTAAATGCCGGCGATTTCAGAATGATTTCTCGTGAAAATGCGTGTGGGAACGTTCAAGACTCCACAAACACTCAACATGAATTCCTTTAAAACTCTGTTTACTGTGCTGGAACTGTCCTTGAAGGATCTTTTTTCCCGTTATTACAAAACAATTGTTGACAACAAACGACTTAACTACGGCTGTAATTACAAAAAAATTAATTTGCATTATACAGTATTATTTTATAGTGGAATCATATTTAACATAATCAACTCCGTTAGTTTCAAAAGAACTACATAGAACAAATGTATGACATTCGAATGTAAATAATATTAGGTTTCTAACACTTCATATTACGTAGGAAAATGCAATGTATTATCACCATTAACACAAAACATGCCTTACGTAGGAGTGGTTTTTTTAGTGATACTTATTGTTTGTTTTTAAATAACGTGGAATATAGAGTGTCCTTGTTAAAAGTGAATCATGTCTATTTCGCCCAAAAAAGTTAGATACCATTATTTACACGAGAACATCTAACTTGACAACGATTGTGCAATGTCTAGTTTGAGTTTACGCGGCCCGGGCCACGCGTTAGCCACGTGAAAGCCACGCCGCGTAGCCAGCACGCCCGCGCCCTGCGCCCATGGGCGGGGTTAAAGGTTGCTCCCATCCCCCGTCCAGGGAGCTATCAGAATGTTTTTTGAAAAGTTAGCGAAAAATAAAACATTAATTTTATTATTCATTTATTTAACGTACATTCAGTTGTCTTAAGAAAATCTTGAGACAAGCTTCGACATCAAATAGACACAAAGCAGCTATTATTTTCATACAATAATCTTTCTACAATTTTATTCCATATTCTGCATTTTACAATCACTTGGGTGGATAGTACATTATATTAAGATGCCTATATCTAGTTAAAATTATTAAGAATTCGAATCCATTCTTTAAATACTTAAGAAGCCGCACATTCTGAGGAGAATATTTCTCGAAAATGTTTCAACCTTTTTAATGCCAATTACTACATGTTTACGAGTGCGATTACGTTACACATTAGCGTCGAAAAAATACACTTGTAAATTAAGAATGAAATTGTGACTGACTTTTTAAAAACAATACAACTATTTATGCACTTTCTGCAAGTAAGGTTCATAGATACTTTTAATGCGCGCATCTCGCAGTATCTAGTAATGTGACATTATCTCTGCCAAATGGAATATTCCTGAACGCATTTCGCCCTCGCAGCCAATGGAGCCGACGAGTTCCTCAACAGAAGTCCTACGTTTAATCTGTAGTAACTCACCACGCTCGTTGTTCCCACACCCAGCACACCAAATGTTCTCTAATTACCTGCAAATTAAGAAAATATTATTACAGTGGATGCTTACATATAAATTGCTAAAAATTAACATATGAACATCACTATAAAATACAAAATTTTATATTAAATAAAACTAGCAATAGTAACCCAATGCTAGAATGTCAGGTGGCGAGGACGTCAATATATTATATGTGTATATTTAAAATGTTTTAGATCCCAGTAATTGTTTTGTTATTGCAGGTCGTATCAACTTCTAGGTCATTAGCGACCACAATTGCTTGTAATGGTATGGTAACTGTGAGGATGACACGATATGATGATAGGGGATGAAAGGACGAACACAATACAACCAAGACCGAGGCGCGACTCGAACCCGATATCCTTCGGTCCGAGATCGCTATGGCACTAGTACCTTGGCGATATCGGCCACCGGACGGCCCCAGTAATATTTTTGTGCCTCTTGCACAGAGGAAAAATACAATCGAATCATTCAAAGCGAGTCATACAACAGTCATCAAAACATACCTACAACTGATCAGAAATTCAATACGAAGAATGGAACGCCTTTAAGTCAAATTAATTTGAATATGATCAACATAATTCTCCACGCTTACGTCACACACAAGTGAAAATCAATATTCTGCTGGTATTAGTTTTTACCCCTTCCCCCAACTATTATACGGAAGATGACTAAAAATGTCTGTTGCAAGCAGTCAGTATTGCAGTTATGCATAAGACGCAGACTGGGAGATTCGCTATCAACAACGTGTTGTCAAAAAATTATGATTGAAGATTAGCGTCAGGATTAATGCCAAAAGTTATACACGAGTCATTTTACAGTTATTTACGAAGTAAATATCCCAAGACGTTGCAAAACGAACATCGTACAACTCCATCTTCTTCGTACAACTTCCAATGTACAGTAATTTTCATTTACATTCGACTATTCATCTAAGAAAAGGGAATAGACTAATATTGATGGTAGTTACTATGCCATGTATTATTAAAACATTCGTATTATAATAACTCATCATCATCTGTGGGAGTTTAACATCAAATTATCATTTCTGATATCAGCAGGCGCTTCCCGCGGTTAGTAGCACTGCCTTTTTACAACCTACAGAACTACCTTGACCTTGCTTCCTCTCCGAAACTCTGCTGTAAGCCCCTTGCGGCCGAGAACTGACTCCTGTCGCGAGATGTTTGTTACGTAACGGGGCCGCTCGAGCCCTTTGAGGAATAGGAAGGTTTGGTGGCGGCCAGGTGGCGGTCACGTAGCGACCCATTCGCACATTACGCAGATTTCTCCCCCCTGGCACGTGAGCAGTCTCATTCACCCCGCATTCGGGCAGAGAGAGGACTGGGAAGGATTGCGGCATGGCAGGTGCCACATGGAGGTTGAAGATAAGGCCCGCCACGCCATTACACAAGAAATCATCCTACCTAAAAAGAAATCAGAACCTGCAGAGCTCACAGCTCGTGGTCGCCGGTGAATGGGACTGTTATAATAACTCTTATTACGTCACGTATCTCAATTTCGTTCAGTTTGATTTCAGACAATGAAATTGGTTAAAATATATTTTAAATAATTCTCCATGATACTCCTAGTCTTTGTCGCAATTAGAGTAACATATTTCCTCAGACTCAAGAAAGTCAATCCTACTATTAAACGTGCTACATAGTGGTGAGTATTCATCTTCGAAAATACATCTGCGATAACGTCTGTTTGACTGCAGAGACCTCTCCTATTACGTAGTCAACATGCGTTTTACACCCATCTACTAAGAATGATAACGCACGATGCTTCAGAGAAGGCTCTCAGTTCCTCATGTCAACATCACGGATTCTGAACATCGGAGAAGGTCGGGCAAAGTTCTTTAGATGTAAGAACACCACAAGCGAAAACGGGAACAAGTACTGCTCATACAAGTTGAGCCATTTCAGGTATAAACAGTACATCATTGTGAGTTAGCAATTAGATGAACAGAAGATACTTTTGCCACAGAAAAGGCTGTTTCGATGTTACTTATTAAGCGGCATCATATAAAATTGAGAATTTTCTTCGTACTTAACTTTAATTGCTTCATGGTTTCCTAGCACGTCGAAATTGTCGCTGTTATGAGTCCTGTCAGTGTATAAGGGTTTTATGCCGGGAGGTGGAGACTATCTCCCGCTAGATGGCGAGATTCGGCGTCAACCTACGTAGGCTTACGGAGATTCACCCCAACCAAATGTCCCACCTGCGTGGCACCGCCCCAGATGGGAAAAAACACTTTTGACCGTTTGGAGTTCCGTTCCTAAGGAATTCGAATTTTATTTAAATTTTCATCGATTGATGTACATGTTTGTTTATAAATTATAATTTTCTTTCAATCATATATTTTTGTATATTAATTTTCAATAAAAATTATAACTGTTAAAATGGCCTTTTTTCGCCATCTTCATTTATATATTTTCTATCTAAGTTCCCGACTGGTCTCCAGGAAAGGGCGGTAGTATATGTGACAAAGTGTGAGGGGGTAATGATAAGACAATGTAGAGGAAGGAAACATCACACACGGGCCGTGGTCAATTTGTAAGGGAACACTTCTGGTATTCGCCTGGTGACGAACGGCGAAACCTCGCAAAATTACCGGCCAGAGCAGCAGGCCGCCAGAATCCTCCTCCATGTAGCGGCTGAATTCGACCTGGCTATCTACCGTTGCGACTCGATCCTTAGAACCTCCTGGTGCAGTTGAAGAAGTGCAGTTGATTTCCTGAGCCACCTCTCCATGTGGAAACGCCCCAAGTAATAGGTGAATATTTTCTGAAACTGTTGGGACGTCTCATGGCAGTAAATATGAGAATGAAATTCAATGTCAACGCTGGAAATATGTAGAGTGCCAAACAAAAATCTCCTGCAACTGCATCCCGCAACAGGGGGTGAGACGGATAAACCTCGAAGTGCCTGGGCAACAAACAAACAAACAAACAAACAAACTAGCCAACAAGTATACTTTAGTTACAATTAGAAGCCGTTTCTTCGATCTGACAAGCGCTTCAGCACCTACTGCATCTTTCCCTCCGTTAAGTTCATGGAACACGACAGAGCTTCTCGCAGTATGCTTCATCGTCGTGACGAATGTATTAGCGTTTTATAGCCTGGCGCTGACTGTGAGCAGAAAGTCTTGCGATGACGAAGCACGCGCATTTTCTGTTGCAACAGACGGAAGTCAACAAGCAGAAAGTAATTCAAAACCTTCCACGACGCTATGGCCTTGGCTAAAAAGGTGCGCTGCAAAACATTCTGAAATAATACGAGCTTGTACAGACGTGAAAAAAAGGTTTCGCAAAATAATTTTTATATATGTCATCAACTTGAAATGGATATGAACAAAAAAAATGTAAACATTTTTATTTCATATGCATGGATCGGGTCGAAAAAGGGTGGACGAAGAGAACGGCTAATATTGTATTTGGTATAGGCTTTATATTTAAAATTTTAATTTCTTTAAGAAGTATTCCCATAAGAAGGCATAATCTCGAGTATAGACTTCAAGTATTATTTTTTTTAATTATATGCAATTTTATTGTTCATAATAAAATCAGTTAAACGGTGCTTCGTTTCTTCTGATAAAAATGCTAGTGGATATTTATTTCGTAACGCAAGTATTGTGTAAAGGTAAAGCTGAAAATGGGCCAAGATGTGTCTAGTACGAGTAATACGATTAATCAATGTACACGAAGATGTCCCTGCTGTAGATTATCGCAAATTCCAGACAACTGTGGGGCCAGCTTTTCCTTAGTTTCATGCTCAGACAATTTCAGCCTTCTTGAAATCATTGTCACCGGAATTGCAGCGACCACCCCATGCTTTACACTGGATACAGAAGTCCAAATCCCGATGGGTACTAAAGCTTCTGCCATTTCACTTGTGTTATGTTCCAATACAAACAAAACCTCTCTACTCCCTGTTAACTTCAACAATCATCACGCCTCAATGCGCATATTGCTCCAGCACAAGATGTCGGTACAGGGCCGGGACAGCGCCGGGACAGCGCCGGGACAGCGTCGGGACAGCGTCGGGACAGCGTCGGGACAGCGTCGGGACAGCGTCGGGACAGCGTCGGGACAGCGCCCGGACAGCGCCGGGATTGTAATCGCCGACGAGAGCACGCAAAATAGGAAAGGCCGACAGCGCACGCCCGGCGCGGTGCGCTGGCCAAGCCAAGTGGTCGGTCGGCGAACGGAGAGCAGCCGAACGGTATGGGGCGGGGGCGGGGAGGATGAGAGCGGCTCAAGGTCGATCAGTCCGCCGCGCCGGCCGCGGCCTTGAGTACGCGCCGCAAAGATCCACGCCCCCGCTCCGCCGCCTCCTCCCTCCGCCAGGCCGACACTGCGCTGTGGTTACGATGCCGCCGCGGTCGTGTGCCGCTCGCCGGGCGCCCGTCAGCTGGCTGGTGTCTAGTGCCGGCGCTGGCACCCGACTGAGAAGCGTTTGCCGGAGTACACAGAAAGAAGGACTCCATACAAACACCGGCGGAAGGTACAATTTGGTGAATACAGAACACTTTTTGACCGTTTGGAGTTCCGTTCCTAAGGAATTCGAATTTTATTTCAATCATATATTTTTGTATATTAATTTTCAATAAAAATTGTAACTGTTAAATGGCCTTTTTTCGCCATCTTTATTTATATATTTTCTATTTCTGTGATTCCTGTGAAAGCAACATATCTTGCCTTCCTGGTTTTATTTGAACATACTCCGCAATGTGAGTAAACAAACAAAAACACATTAACGTTAATTATCTCAAATTATTTTTACTACGAGAATACTCAGATATACACTGTTAAGTCCTGCGATTTGATGAAGTTCATTTTATGTGCGTAAATACACATTTGTGACCACTACTTAGCAACCATAAGGAATTTAACTTATCTGGTTTTAACGTGTCTACAGACCGATTAAAATAATCAATTAGTATTATCTCGTTTTCAGAAAAAAACTGCAAATAATCCTCGAAAGTGAATCTAATTCACGGAAGTGAGA